TCGTTTCCGCTGCTGCAGTTTCTACTGCTGTGGTTTCCAGTGCTGCAGTTTTTAGTACAACAGTTTCTATAACTGTAATTCCCCATAGTGTAGTTTTTACTGCTAGGGTAGGGACGAAAAATGCAAGCACGTCTACCGAAAACGGCATCAGCAGAGGGTGGTGCGGAGGCCACGATGGGATCCCGGGTAATAAGCGTAACCTGACGGGCAATCTCCTCCTCCGTCATCCCCCTGCGCGTGCCAGTGCGCACAGGCTCCACGTCGAGTCCTGCCTGGCAATCCAGCATGCCCTCGTCCCGCTGCCATGGCAGCACATAACCGCATGCAACCCGCCGATACTCTGTCAACCGCACATTTGCGGTGATCTCAACGAGTTGAACGACCTTCTCGAAGGCCAACTGGTTGCGCTTCTTCATGTTGATGCCCTCGTGGACTGCCCAGTTCCTCTCCGCTAGAGAGGCGCAAGATCACATGTGCATCACCCGAAGAGCGCACCTCTGCAACTCTGGCGCGCCAGCCCCGAACTGAGACCACCACGACACGCACTCAATCGTCTCGCTGTCGCCGCTGCACGCGCGCCCACGAGCACGCCCCTCCGCCCCGCCCCAATCCCCGAACCTGCCCTGCTGAATGTGGAAGTCCTCAAACTGCCGACATGCAAGGATATACTCCGCACCCTCCAACTCGAAACCCGTCTACGTCAGAATGTACCTCTTGGCTTGCCCCACAAGCCAAGCATGGTACCGATCAACCTCGCCCGAAAAGTAGCGAACGTGTCGCCTGTTGGGGTTCAGTAAGAACCCTGCGCAGTAAGCCAGCTCAAGCATGTGCTGTGTGCGAGCCTGCACACGCTTGATGATCCGGTCGGCGAACGACTTCCCCAAAGGAGCGCATGCGTCCGTGACGCGGCTGACAAGACCCTGTGTCCACTCGATCATGAGGGACATGTACTGTCCTCCACGATCCATCGGCCTAAGCAACTCCATGACGGGCTGCATGATATGGACGATGGTGGCCACCCTCTGCCACCATGGATCCCATCTGATCTGTCGGCGCACCCAACGCGCCATGACGCACACATCGGCGGACCACGGGATGGAAGCAAAAGTCGGCGCGTCATCCCCTTGCATCATGTCCTGCAAAGTGTCCTGCAGGGCCAACAACCTCTCTAGCATGGAATAAACAGACGCGAACCGCGTCTCACGACAAAGAATAAGCCCCTTGTTGGGGCTGCGCGTCCTAAAAAAATGAAGGGCGGCTTGGTGGGTTTTGAAAAACACCACCAGCACACGAGCGCGTGTGATCGCGTCCACAAATGCGTCGCAATTTGTCCCCATGTCTGACAACAATTTGTTGCAGACATTGACGGAACACAGGAGCCAAGTGATCCTCCTCAGTGCAAGAGGCATGGTCGGCGAGGCCAATGCCCTTGCAGCCCCCACGTACGCAGAAGCGGAGTCAGTGCATATTGCATTGACCCGCTGTGGGCCGCCGAAGCTGAACTCGTGGAAGATGGTAACCCAGCTTCGAAGGACGTGCACTGCATCGTCCGGCTCGCCCTCTCGATTGATCGTCGTGTACACGATGACCCCTCGCGAGCCAGTGGCAAGGAAATTCACGATTGGTCTCCCGTCTCGTGATTTCCTCCCATCGGAGAGGAGGGTGGCACCAGTCACCCAGAATGGCTGCCTCACCTCCTCCAACTCCTCCGCCAGCTCCGCA